TTATTGTTTCGCCTGAAAACACTATCACTGCTAGGTTTGTAAAACGACTGAAAAATTTTTACCTGCCCGCTGCATTTAACCCCCACCATTCGGCTCTTTTTTTTTAAAAGAATACTTGAATAGCCTGAGTGAAAGCCGGTTAAAAGTGCTTTGCTTTTTGTTGCAGCTGATCCCAATTTTTTCGGGGTTAACTGCTAGGACTGAGTCTTTTATGCAAAGTCTTGAAACTTCCAGATCCTACCAAGGAAAGCCCACTCCTACAAAGATCTAGCACCCATAATTATTTTGCTCCTTAACTGCTTCCAGTCTCTGGTTGCATTTCGATAATTTTGAACAGTACGCTTTACCGGCCTCAATGATCAGAATCGAGAGATCACACAAGCTGAATATAGGGTTTTGATACTTCCGGTATTTCTAGGCCAAAGGAAGAACCCACAAAAAAAGTTAAAATTACCACCAATACACTGACTATCAGAAGAAGCATTTCCGGTCTAAACAATACAGAAGAAGCTGTCTTCCATCTTAACAGCGCGAAAGTGCTCTACAGTGAAAAGTAACGAAATCGTGTCTTCATTATCGTTGCTAGCAGGCTGAAGTGCAAGAAGTGATGTGCAACTTCGCGTTTTTAGAGAATCTTAACAGCACTACAATATCCAGTTTGCTCGGCTGTACCTTCGACCGTTTTCGTCGCCACGAGTTGTCTGTACTGATTGTGGGTATGATAAGCCGTGATGAGCCGGTACTTCTACCAAAGAAACCTTATTTCTTCAAGGTCACATGAAAACGCACAGCAGATTCCGAGGAGTTTAGCCAGATTAATTCTTCTGTTTTGGCTATCAGTTTGTAATTATTGCGTGTGCCGATTCATCCTAGTTAGCGATGTACTATCCACAAGAATTATTCTTAATCATTTAATACATTTGTTGCAAAAGGAAGGCGCTATCAGCAAGAAAATGAAGTAGGCGGCTAATCCCCTTGCCCAGTTGCGACTCGATTCCAAGTGATATGCGAATTCTCGCCTCCTGACTCGACCTACCTCTTCCGTGATGTGCATTGATGTGTTTAGAAATAACAGACCAATAGGATTGTACGTAAGCCATGTGTAAGGTGTTATTTTACGGTGCAAATTGCCTTTATCTTTTAGATGTAGTGGGGTGATATTTTTCGATGCAATCTGTGTTTCATCCCTTAGCTGTAAACACAGACCGGACTATGCATGCCGGTAGGAGTGGGAATCGTCAGTATCAAGCAAGTATGGTGTAAAATGAGCTAACCTGCGGATTACGATTTGCTGCTTGTCGTACCATTGGCAGATCGGACGGTGTATCACCGCATATCAGCACACGACCCGGTGTTTCCAGTGAATCACCAAGATTTTTTATTAAACGATCCACACCATCAGCTTTATTCCAAACTGTTCCCGAACTATGAGCAACTACTTCAACTTCTAATTCGGTTGACGGATCAAATACTAATACCTGAAAAGTTACCAAAAATTAAACTGATGAAGCTCTCTTCTGGCAAAAAAAACTTGTCTTTTCTGACCGAAGCGAATATTTCAACTCGGCAATCAAGCAAGCTCCGGCGCCAAAATTTTGCAGTGGGTTCTCCGACCAAGTGCCATCCCAGGACCGTGGTACCAACTCTCACGCAAGTCTGGAAAGTTTTGAGGGCAGCATAATCACAGAAAGTTAGGATACCTAGCAGCAGGTTGACCAGCAGGCAATTTAGCGCTGGATAACAACGCAACTGGAAAACTTGCCAAATGTGTTAACCAAAGAAATGTGTCATGCACTGCAGTTGATTTAAGTAATCTAAGCTCTGCTTACTGAAAACTGAGGAGGCAAGCAGTGCGTGAAAGAAGAAAGGAGGGAAGGGGGGGGAGGGACGAGCGAGATAATTTTTGTGTAGTAAAATTGAAAGTCATATCTCTCCCTCTGTGAAAAGCGGAGGATTTCGGTGATTAGC